CCCAGAGCCCAGAGCCCAGAGCCCAGAGCCCAGATGCCAGAGCCCAGAGCCCAGAGCCCAGAGCCCAGAGCCCAGATGCCAGAGCCCAGAGCCCAGATGCCCAGGGCCCAGAGCCCAGAGCCCAGATGCCCAGGGCCCAGAGCCCAGAGCCCAGATGCCCAGAGCCCAGAGCCCAGAGCCCAGATGCCCAGAGCCCAGAGCCCAGAGCCCAGATGCCCAGAGCCCAGGGCCCAGAGCCCAGAGCCCAGATGCCCAGAGCCCAGGGCCCAGAGCCCAGAGCTCAGATGCCCAGAGCCCAGGGCCCAGAGCCCAGAGCCCAGATGCCCAGAGCCCAGAGCCCAGAGCCCAGAGCCCAGATGCCCAGAGCCCAGAGCCCAGAGCCCAGATGCCCCGAACCCAGAGCCCAGAGCCCAGATGCCCAGATGCCCAGATGCCCAGAGCCCAGAGCCCAGCAGCTGTGCCATTGGATCCCCTCAAAAGACACAAAAGAACTAGAACTCCCACCAAAGCTTTCCTTTGGGGACACCCAGTACCACATAGGTGGCTTCTGCAGAATGAGCTGTTATGTCCACAGTGGGGATCTCCGCACCCCCCTGGAGTGGAGTACCCACTGGATAATAAGGCAGAGTGAAGCTAGAGAGATTTCCAAGCAGTGGACAGCCAAGGCCCAGAGCTGAGACCAGAAGTTTGACCAGGATATAAGCAGAAGCCAGCACACAGCTCTGAGGGGCTGTAAGTAAAGGAAGGAACGGGGGAGACTGGCTGGGACCCAGGTGAGATAGAAGAGAAAAAAATGGGGTTTACCACAATAGAATGCCTCCCTGATGCCCTGAAACTTGACCAAGGTTAGAAGGGCAGACCACTGGCCAAAAGCCTAACCTCCCTCCTGGCCTGGTGCCACCCGGGGGACTCAGCCAGCCCTTGAGCCCACGGGGATGCACAAGTGAGCTTTGTATTGACTTTCAATATGAATCTGCTGTTAGTGGATGAATGAAGAAATGTTTGTCGGGCAAGTGGCCAGGTCTGAGGAGCCTTGTTGGGGGTGGGGGGTGGGCACAAAACTAGCATCAGGGAGAAGGCAAGTTGTCCCCCTTCAGAACCAAATGACTGAAACCGCTGTTTCTCTCCCCTTTCCCCCCAACAGGTCACAAGGTAGGAACATTCTCTAGCCTTCTTCCCTCTGCCCACCCCCACACCCCTGCCCTGGCCATTTCTTTCAGGTCCACCTCATTCTTGAACCAGTAACTTCTGCCAGATGAAGTCAGGAAGACTCAGGCATCAGCCTGGGAAGGGCGGGGTACTGCTGTATCCACCCACCCCCTGCCAACTGCATCCTCCTCCTCTGTTTTCCCATCTGTCTCTCTCCTCTCCTCACTTCCCTCCCCTGGCCCAGCAGCTCGTCCTCTCTCCTGCTGCTCCCCAGCCTGTTCCCTGCCTCCCTGGCTGGGTGGCTGGCTGGCTCCCAAGCCCAGCACACTGCAGGGATCCTAGGACAGGCTTCTGCTAGGGAAGGCAGGGACGGATGTCTGCTCACCACCTCCCCCTCCCAACCAGCAGCAGCCAAGCCCCCTGGCCAGATCTGCGGTCAAAACGGAGCAGGGAGCCATCCTTCTCCCAGAGTAGGGGGCACAACCCCACCTCTACCCCACCGGGCTCCAGACCCCAGGGCCCTAGCACAGACGTAAAATGGTTTCTCTTCCTTGGGCAAGAGGCAACCCCTTCAGGCTGGTCTCCAGCCAAGAACGAAGGTTAAACATTTCCCAGGCCTCTTGGGTCTAACTTTACTTTCTCTTCTCCCTGATTAGGTCTGGCAGCTGTTCAGAGGCATTATAGGCTCATGCCCAGGCACTCTGGGCATGCATCTGTGTGCACATATGTACATGCTTATGTGCCCACCCACGGGAACATACTCAGACATAGCTATTTTGTTGTGGTTTTGTTTTTTGTTTTTTTACAGTGCTGGGTTTGCACTTCCTGGACAAACTCTCTACCATCGAACTCCATACCCAGACACAGCTTTAAAATTGTATTTATTTACTTATTTTCATTGTCTGAGAAAGGGTCTCACCACATAGCTTTGATTGGCGTAGAGCTCCCTATGTATACTAGGCTGGCCTTGAACTCACAGAGATCCAGCAGTCTCTACCTCCTGAATGCTGGGATTAAAGGTGTGCATTGACACACCTGCCCCCCCCCCAAATAAAGACAAGGCCTCATTCTATATATATATACACACAGACCCTGGCTGGCCTGAGACTCACTATAGAGATCAGGCTAGTCTCAAACTCCCAGAGATCAACCTGCCTCTGCCTTTTCAGAGGGGTGAAGCCACGTGCTACCACACTCTGCAACCAGAGCTATTGTATATAAATTGGACACACTTCCTATCTCTACTCAAACACATCCTTGATTTCCACCTCTTACCTTTGACCTGCCACATCTCTTCTCAAAGCCTGGGTTTCTCCCTACCTGGTTTTCGGGGAATTCTTCTCCAGCCTCCCCAAATTCACCTTGGCTCTCAAATAGAGCAAGCTGCCATTTCTAGCAAGACAGAACTTGTAACCATTCTGCTTAGGGTCCTCGGGCCAGGGAAGGGGTTTGTGAGATATATGAAAATGAATAAACCTAAAGCAGCTAGACTCTCCTCCCTCTTCCTTGCTGAGTTCTGAAGGGACTTCACTGCAAAAGGGGCAGGACCAGGAGCAGTCCCTTGCCATCCCCGCCACAACCCCTTTCAGATGCTTAGGAATCCTGAGTCCCTTGGGGAGGGGAGGTAAAGAGGAGTTGGCTGCAGTCATCAGCATCGGCTTTGAAGGCTGACATTTCCCTTTTGGCTTTCCACAGGGTCCTCACTGTGGGCCACCTGGCCATGGACCTGGAGGCCACCACCCTCCAGGACCTGGTTGCCCACCCCCTGGCCATGGCCCAGGACACTGTCCCCCACCCCCTGGCCACGGCCCAGGACACTGTCCCCCACCCCCTGGCCACGGCCCAGGACACTGTCCCCCACCCCCTGGCCATGGCCCAGGACACTGTCCCCCACCCCCTGGCCACGGCCCAGGTCCACATCACTGAGAAATCGGAAGAAGAGAGGACACAAGATGAGGAGCTTCCACAGAACCCCCAGCTGGCCCAGCCCAGGGGTCTAAACCTGAATTCTCCCTTCCGAATAAATAGCCTCCTGGAGGCCATGTTTGTTCTCCTCAGAGACTGTCTTTCTTCACATCCAACCTGGCACTCAGGGCCCAGTTCTATCTAAGTTTCCTTGTTGTGAAAACCGGATGTCCATCTTGGCATTTCCAGAAGCTTGACTTGGTAGTGGCCACAGCCTAGGGCTGCTTAGGACTACTGATCTGGGGGGACAGCTCCCTCTTCTCTGCCTGCATACATTCCCAGCGGCTCCTGACACCACACTGAACTCCGAGCTTCCTTTTGTCGCACACGCGGTCTCCTAATTCCCACTCCAGGTGAGACCCGCTCCCTCCCTCTCTCTGTCTTTCATACCTCCACATTTCCGAAGTCTTTCCAAGCCAGCCTCCTCGCTGTCTGTAGACAGTTTTCCTTAAGCCGGTCAGGAAGAGAAACACCTCTCTGCACCCTGTCCCTTCTCTGCCACACACTGCAGATCAGAGACCGCACCAGGCATCTCATAGGCCGAGCCACACCCTGACCACCTGGCACCAATTTAGTTAGGACCGCCCTTTATCTCCCCAGCCAACTGTAAGTCACTCCAAGCACCTCTGAACCTCGAGATCGGCTCAGTTCGGGCCCTGTGACCGGTGCCTTGCCTAGACCAGCACTTGGACACACTTACGGGATGTCTTCCGTCCAAACCCTCTGGAGTCTTACTCGCCTCAGCCCCTGGCTTTCAGCCTTTTCCTGTCCAAATCTATCCAGGGTGCTTTCCACTCCGCTGGACTCAGGCTTCTCATACTTCTGGTATCCACTGTAATTCTGCTACAGTCCTCTAGTCAGGCCTACCCTGCAACCAGCCCCCCAATCTGTTCTTTTCCTTCACAGCTAGTCCCTGGGGAGGGTTGGCAAGAACTCCGGAGTGGGTGGGGAGGGGTAGTGACGGCAAGAAGGGGCTGGGCATTGCTCTGAGCGTCCCTCCTCCACTCACTGCCCCTTCCCCTTGTTGCGCACTTTAAAAAGTCAGGAAAGCAGAAAGAGGCCGCCGCCGACTCAAGGCCAGGTCCAAAGTGGGAAAAGACCCAGCCCGAGCGTCTAGATAACCTAACCCCCTGGGGAGGACAGAAGGACACGGAGAGAAGCCGAGAGAAATAGGGGTACTCATGCGACCCGACCTCTCTGGCCCTCCTGCGCTATGAAGTGTGGAAGCCTGCGGTTCAAGTTGTGAGGATTTGTGCACGGGTCGCTCTTTCTGGTTTCCTATAAGAAGAACGGCGCGTCCAAGGATGGACGGTTCGGTCACATTACTAAAGACGATGACCAGACCTGGCCAGGGTAGAGAGGCCCGTACTGCAGCCTCCAGCCTTAGTGGCAGCGAACCCCCAGCCCCCGATGTTGCGGCAGCCTGTGTCCCTGTCTCCCCTCCCTCCTTCCTGTCCTGCGTCCATTGGTGGATTCCTCTTCGGCCCCGCCCAGAGACTGGCTTCGGAAACTGACGCATGCGCAGGAGTCCGCCGCTGCCTCTGCTTCAGCACCAGAGCCCGGACAGCGGCGCCGCCCACGGGCATGGACGGTGGTAGCAGCCCCAGCGGCTGCAGCGACAGTCTCCTTGCCAGTTTCTGAACCGGCGGGCGAGCAGCGGCCTGCGGGGAATACACGAGCCCCAGAAGGCAGCTGCCGGGACAAGTAAGAAGAACCCCTCCGTAGATCCCGCTGGAAGATCTTCTCAGCACGCCTGCATCAGGTATCTTTAGTAGCTGCCGCCACGTATCACCTCATTCATTCCCAGCCCTTCGGAGAGCCCCTCTCGGGGCGGGTATATCTGTACACTCTCATCTTGCCTGGTTGGTTTATCCTCTCACCGACATTCGATAATGCCAGCTGTCATTGCTTCACCTCCTGGGGGACCTGCCCCACCCACTGTTTCCTCCTTTCTCCTAAGGCCTCCGAGGTCCCTTTCCATGGCCTCTGGAACTCCCCCACTCCCCCTAGGCCTTGCCTCTGCGTCTTTGCAAAAGGCCTCACGTCCGTCCGTCCGTCCGCCGCTACGTCAGTCTGCATGTCAGTGTGCAAAGGGGTGTGCATGGACAACAAAAAGGAAGCTCGCCAAAGCAGGTGTCCTGGGGAGGGGAGGCAGGCCTTTGGGATCTACGTCAAGGACCGCCTTTGTCCATCACCGGCAGTTGCTTGTCTGCCCATTGTCATCGGTTGCTACCTGCCCACCGCATCGTTATTTCTCTCCCCTGCATGGCCTCCTGCCTGTGTACAGACTGATTTTAGTCCCCATGTATGGTAAAAACTAGACCGAAGCCACTTGTATATGCAGGATCGGAGGCTCAGGCAGTGGTCTGTTTGACTCCTGAAAGAGCCTCAGGCTGGTGGAAGAGGAAAAACACCTTCCTGCTGAGTACCCATTCCCAGATCCGGGTGCCCTTCATTTTTCTGCCTTCACCAGACATGTGGCAGAACAATCTGGCCAGGTAGCAACATGACGCCATTTCTGTGTCCTGCCTGACTCTGCCGCCCCCAGAATCTCTCCCCAAACACGACACTACCTCTCTCTCCTGCCTGGACTGAAATAAAAGGCATTTTTAAGAGGCGAAAAGCAGATACAAACATTATCTCCAGGTTATCTGATTTAAAATGTGCATTCTGTTCCTCAGAGGGAAGAGAAAGCCCACAGGTGGAAGCAAAGGTTGTCTTCCCTCTTTTATTAATTCGTCAGTCTGGAAGATATAAAATCATATTCAAGAGGGTAAGACATGGGATGGGTGTATTCTCCAGCCCAGGGACTCCGCTTGGAGTCATAGCCTAATCAAAAGAAGGTGAGGATGGGGGGGGGGCACAGCTCAGTGATAAAGCATTTCTCTATCATTGGCAAGGCCTTGGGTTCCATCCCCAGCCACTGCAGAAAAAAGGGTGGAGAGGGAGGGCAGTGATGAATCAGGGCAGGCCCGGGGCCAGGAGCGTCTGTACCAGGGGCTACGGCAGCATGGGCTGTCTGGCATATCTTGCCAAGGATCAGCCCTGTCTGGTTTGCTCATTCCTCCCGGGCACGAGAACCACTTGTTCTCTTCCAGCAGTTCTCTGGAACCCTCTGCCTCTCTGCAGGTCCCCAGAGACTACGGACACTGCGCGGGCATAAGGACTTTGTTCAACTCAATAGGAGAAACACAAACATAGCTCCTGGGGATAGCTATACCATGTATCAGAATACATACACTGTACACGTTAACCACATGCACACACCAATTTACACACTCATGCCCTACACATACACACACACACACACACACACGCACGCACGCACGCACGCACGCACGCATGCACGCACGCATGCACGCACGCACACACTGCAGTGTAGTGTCCTGTCCCATCCCGTCCTGTCCACTCCAGTACAGGAGATTAAATCCAGAGCCTTATGTATGCAAAGAATGCTTTCTACTACATCCTCGCTCCCACCTTCACCCCCGGAACATTTTGGGAAGGAGTCAGGCCTTAAGCCTGGTACCACATAAGATAACACACACCTGTAATGCCCGCACTTAGGTGGCTGGAACAGGAAATTCAAGGCTACTCTGGACTACATAGGTCCTGGTTTCTCCCTTTTCTTGGCCTCCCAAGTTCCTCTCTCTAGGCTTTGCCTCTGCATCTTCATCTAGGCTATGCAGAGAGTCTCTATCTTTAAAAAAAATTCAGGTGTGGTAGCAAATTAACCCCAGCATTCACTTAGGAGGCAGAGGCAGAAGTGTAGTTCAAGGCCATCCTCAGTTACATATTCAGTTCAAGACTAGCATAGGCTGTAGGTAATCTCGGTTTGAGAGCTGAGGAGGGGATTGACATGAAGCCCAGAGAGAGGAAAGCCTGGAGAGGGGAGTGGAAATCGTTTGTCTAGGTTAGCCTCCAAGTATCTGAGCTATTGGGACAACTTCCAATTCTACAGTATTTTATAAATTCATTGACTAGGGGATGTTTGAAATAGTTAATTGTTTGTGTTTTTAAAATTACCATTTATTTTCTTAGTGGTGTGACCACTGCTCCCCTCATCTGTCCTGGCCACTCTGTGGGACCACAGTGACATCCAGATGACAACTCTGTGGGTTCAGGGCCACATTAATTCGTACACATCTGCCCCTTCTGGAACTCCCAAGTTGGGGCTCTGTGCCTAGGGACCTGATAAAATGGTGACCTTCTGTGTGAGACCAGATTCACCAACTTCAACCCTCTCCATGACTTGGTTTATAGGCTCTGGGGTGCAGGCAGGCAGCCTAGGAAGTTACCCATCCTAATTAGAGACCTGGCTCATTCCATTGGGAAGACTGAGACAGACTCAGCTCTACCACAGTCAGGCTAGAGAATTCCAGGTTCTCTACACTGCTATAACGTCCTGCACAGTGAAGAGGGGTAAGATTAGGATCAGTTGACTCTTGATCTCTGAAGAGGGACTGAAAGGGTTGAAAGGAGGAGGCTGGAGCCACGGAGACACCAGTAGAAGTAAACAAATGATGGAGAGTAGATCCCCTGTAACTAGGAGGAGTTTGGGAAAGAGAGTACTCCATTTCCCAGCAGCTCTCTCTGTGGCTGACACTCCAAGCGAGCGCCTACTTGTTAGGACAAGTCCTGTGCTCTGTGCTGTCAGGACACAGGCTGCTGGAACAGGCCCCTCACCTCCACCCTGGCTGCCCCACTGCCTTAACCTCTAGGAGGCAGGCCCTGCTCTAAAGAGTGGGGGCAGAGCTGATAGTGGTCATGCCGGAACCCAACCCAGAGCAAGAGCAAGCTCGATGCTATAAATTACATAAATAAATCGGGGCGATTGAGATAAAGGCCGAGCTCTACAGCAGCCAGACTGGAGGGTTTCGGGCTCTCCATGGCGATATAACGGCCAGTATAGTGCAGAAGGGTGAGATTATGGATACCGGCATAATCTAAACCAATATGTACACAAGCAGGCAGCCAGGCCAGGCAGGGGCGGCACATGGTCACGTGACCAGCAGGGAGGTGAGCAGGGGATGGCAAAATAAAGGGCAAAAATAAAAATAAAGAGGCAAAAAGCAGAGACTGA